CCTGCCATGCTCATAAAACTTTTAATATTTTATTTAAACATCATTCCAAGTTCATTTACATTGTTGAATTGCACTTTGCCTCAGTGCACACTGAGGCAAAGTGCACCTAGTCTCACATTTTGGAGAGCATGCCCGGCGACAGTGCTTTGCATTGTATTTGTTAAATGAAAAGATTGAGAATTTGCAATCGGCATCTTGTCACAAGATAGTCATACCTTCACTGGGCGCCCAAAGGCACTGCTTTGTTGTTGTCCTAGTCACAAGAAGAGCCTGTACATATTTTTTGTTTTATCGTCAGACCAAAAAGGAAAAGATGTATTGTCACATTGAAAGTCCAATTTCTGTCCTATGTTGACTACTGTTGTGCAAATGCAATGCATATGATAAAAAGAAGGCAAGATTGTGTCAAACAAATCAGAAACTCTTTTATTATGGTTAAGAAAAATCGTCCCATATTTCAAAGGAGTGGACTTGCACTTAGAGGCATGTTTTTTATGATTCCATCTATTTTGTTATATGATGCTTTGCTTAAATGCCTTAGAAACATACAAGATCCAGATTTAGTTAAGGACTGGTATTTTAAATACATTTCTAATAAAGACCCAGGCAGAGTCTCTTGGCCCTGACACACCAAACTGACACCAAAGAACACGTCCTGACGGACCCCGACTGTTGCATCGCCTCGCGTCTCTGCGTCTTGGCCAACAGTCGCACTGGAACACACCGCAAAGACTTCAGCCGACGGCCAAGAAGCACGTACGAACTGCGCATGCGTGAGTGGCAATAACTCTACTTACCAGCGGGCGGCGGTAGTGTGTATTCCTCATTCAAAAGAGGCAACAACCGGAAGACAGACAGCGTGATACACCGAGAGAAGAAGAACAGACTGCGTGATATAAACAAACAACAAATAGCGTGTGCGTTGGTCTTCAGTTTCTTCATTCCAGATCGCTATGATGAAAAATAAACTCTTGCGTCCAGCTGAGATGAAAATGAAAAAGAATAGCCGTCTGTGTGTGCCTTCTTAATCGTTTGTTTGGGTCCCTCACTTCCGTTTCGCTTCTCATGCACTGATTCGCTAGCTGAACAGCCAATCAGAGTGATTTTTTTGTTTTCGGCCAAAAAGGTGTTGGCACGGCCGAAAAGACACAACGGTGCGGGACACACCAATCTGAGTAGGGCGACACGACGCTCATCGACGGCCAGACATCTATCGATGGCCGAAATCGGCCCGGTGTGTCGGGCCTTTAGTTCCCCACGCTGTCTCAAAAGTAGGCCATGGACTCATGAACGAAGGCATGGGAAAGGAGAAGAGAGGAGGTGGAGAGAACTGAGTGAGTGAAATTGCCAAAGGAGGAAGAGGAGGTGTGTGTGTGTGTGTGTGTGTGTGTAGGAGAGGCTGGGGAGGATTTATTTTTACCTTTCTGTCAGAGTAGCCCCACTTTCTAATTAAGTGCAAATTAACTTTTGATAAGCTGAGGTCGGGTGGCAAAGTGCCACGGCTACAGATATAGACTCGGTTGGCCCTCCCTTTCTTCCCGCTATTAGACTTTCTCTCAGGGGCCCTGGCCTCCCAGGGTCCGCTGATTCACCATTGAGCCTCCTAGGGTCACCATGTGTTTCCAGAACCATCACATCAGAGATGGGTCAGACTAAATCTGGACCCTCTAGAAAGCTGCTGTTCTCGGTCCCACGTGGAGTCAATCTAGGACATGTATTCCCCAGATGAGACACTCAGAAACGTGTTTGTAAAACTGTCAACAGTATTGTTTTACTGCCTCACTTCCACGGGAACTCCTCCGTCAAGTTGGTGTCGGCTGAGTTCCTTCACTTGTGCACTTGAAGGGAGATTTTCAAAGATTCAATTCATTTCGGTTCTGGCACTGGGCTCCCACTCTTCTGTGGATAGGTATCTAAACTCAAGTCGCAGAAATATATTTTAAATAAGATAAGATTTACTTACGTGACCCCACTTTGGGAAATGTTTTGCGTCACAGCAGCATGTAAACAAGGCATTGCACATCACGTGAAAATGAAAAAGAGTAGAAAATGAACAAACATAAAATATAAGCATCTCAACATAAATAAGATAAAACACAACTAAAAACAAAGATAGATATCTGAAAACAATCTGTCAAATATAAACTATGTAGGGCCAATTTACAGTTAACATCATTTAAAAGTAGGATATTATTTACATTGAATGTGCAAGAAATAGACACACTATTTACAGATTGATGTTTTTATGTTTTTTTAAGTAAAAAGTGGTGGAGTCTAGTTTTTAAAGCAACACAAGAAACTATGAGCTGTGAGTTCTCTAAATGTGGCTTTGTTGCCCACCCACACGCTCAATGATGAACTACAACCACAAAATGCACACACCAAACAGTAACAACGATCAGTCAATGTATACGTATGAGTGTATTTGAACATTTACAGTTGTAGGATGGTCAGGTGGCAACTCTTGGGCAACCTTTGTGATACTCTGGCTGCTTGTCTCTCTCACCCTCTTTTTCTCTTCCTCCATCCATGTGACTAATGACAAGGTCCAGTGCTTATGTCCTTATATAGCCCTATGCTCTGTCTGATCTGGCTCACACACACACACACACACACACACACACACACACACACACACACACACACACAGGTGCCCCTGGTAATATCAAGGTTTATCAGGGACAAGATGTTGAACGCATTAATGAATGTGTTTGTATATCTGTGGAGAGTTCAGAAGCTCTATTTCTGACATTATTCCTACCTCGATGATGCATGAATAGGGGGGGATTACACTCAAAATCACAATGTCAACTGTTGTGTTCTCTTTGGCAACACCTGTTGCATGAAGCAGTGTTTGCTGGGAAGGTTTTCCCAGAGATCCAAACAGTGTCGGGAATACCCAGGAACGTTTCCACAAACACACAGTTTGTAATACTGGAAATGTAAGGGCTTACGTCACGTGGCCATCGGCTCAGTAACAATTGTGTTGCCACATTTGGTGTTAGATAATTACTAATTTCAATGGAAATATCTCAACATTATTTCTTTAGTTAGGATTGGGACGTGCATATCTCAATATTTGACCTTTTTATGAATAGAATTGAGCGTGACTACTGATCCGACAAAATCCGTTTCAGTTTGGGTCAGCTGGTGTGAAAGGCACCAAAATGATATAGTGAGATAAAAAGATTCTAAGCTCAAGCCTTTACTTGTCTCCTAATTATCTACGTTTTTATTTGTTTTATAATCAGGCCTCGAGAGACACAAACCAGTAAATGAACAGCTTTATCTGAAGTTAGCTTTGCTCAAGAATCTCTTCCAAGCTGAGCTTTTTTCCTTCTTTTTTGGCCTTTTCAGCAGGCATCACACTAAATATAAACACAGCGCAACTTTCTGTTAACTTGCATGTTGGTTTGAGTACAAAACTGGATTTGCAGGGGTCGTCTGTCTTCGGATTTAGTTGCTCAGTCTTGAGGTTTATGCTTCCTGTACAAAAATGAATGCAGCTTGTCAGAACCGATGTAAAGTGTACTATTCCTGAGGTTTCTCCCAAGCTTTTGGGTCGGTGAGCACAACAAATAATCAGAAAGGCAATGAGGTGTGCCGTGATGCCATTCAAGGATACTCCTGTAATATATTAGGGCTTTGTTACAGATACCCACAGAGCCAGCAGATCCCTTGTGTATTCTTAATATAGACTATTTTCCTTAGGACACACTCTCCATCACACACGCTCACACACAAACACACACTCGGCAGTGCTGTTCATCAGACCTAGTTATCGACATAGGGAGATCTCTCCTTAAATGGTATACTACCCAGGGCCCTGTCTCTGTTTCCAGTGCACAAACCAAATTGAGTCCAGGTCTGGGAAAAACCTTTTAAAGTGTAGGAGACAGAAAGAGAGGGAATACAAACAGAGCAGAAGAACGTGAGAGAAAGAAAAATGACAAGAGGCTTGACGATGCCTTGTAGAATATTATACGTGACCCTGAGAAAAAGATGTTGTAGTATTACAGTAATACTGTCGGTATATGCAAAGAAAACTACAATGGCACTCGACTAGCAGAACTCCGCCAAGGCCAATCATGCATTCACGTGATTACATACCCCCCTAGATAGTTACAATGGCAGTTGTACATACATTTTCCCCATTCCCACGCACAAATATGTTGTTGATTAAAGGGGCGCTATTATGCTCATTTTCAGGTGTATATCAGTATGTAGTGTCTCTACTTTAAAGAGTCCTCTCCTGCTGATGTTCAGGTGTATATCAGTATGTAGTGTCTCTACTTTAAAGAGTCCTCTCCTGCTGATGTTCAGGTGTATATCAGTATGTAGTGTCTCTACTTTAAAGAGTCCTCTCCTGCTGATGTTCAGGTGTATATCAGTATGTAGTGTCTCTACTTTAAAGAGTCCTCTCCTGCTGATGTTCAGGTGTATATCAGTATGTAGTGTCTCTACTGTGACATGTCTCCATGCTTTAATGTTCAAAAAGCTCTTTATTTTTCTCATACTGTCTGTGCTGCAGCACCTCTTTTCACCCTCTGTCTGAAACCAGAGCCCAGTCTGCTCTGATTGGTTAGCTGGCTGGCTCTGTTGTGATTGGTCAACCGCTTGGAGATGTCCAGGTCCTTAGCCTATCACGTACAATGTGTTGCAGCGCTTGCTAATAGAAGCACGTGTTTTACGTGGTGAGGTCACTTCAGAAGTAAACAAAAGGGGCCAATGGAGGCGTTTCAGACCGCGGGGGGGGGGGGCAGTGTGTCAGAGAGATACTCCCTCTGGAGGGAATGCAAGGATTTTTGCCTTTGTAGACCTGCACAAAAACCTAAAGAAAACACTACACTAGAAGAAACAGCCCAACAATGTTAACAGGCCTCTTCAAAAGAAACAACACGTGTTTTTTAGGAGAACATTTGTCCGTTAAATGTCAATGATGTTGCAAGAATATACTCCAAACAATGTCACTAAATTCTGTTCTTCTTTTCTCTTTGCAGCCAGAAAATCTACAGAAAACATGGCTGAGGGAGTTTTACCAGGTACGTGATACAGTTCCCAGCTAACATATGCAATAATGTTAGTCCAACAAGTTGCATATTACTGCATGGAGTCTTTTAAACTGACTTACTGGCAGCTCACCTTCTGATCTCGTGATATTCCACATGGCCAGTTTACTGCTGCGGCAATGGAAAACTCAATTTTCTTCCTTTACAGTAACATACTGTAGGCCTAAAGTACACTGCTTTATGTACTTTAACCACACTCCAGCTTTTACCATTGCACCAAATGTTATTAGACTTGCGACCTACTCATTTCCTTATGTGTATATGTTTTTCACAGTGGATGTAGTATTGGCCCCAGCCTGACAATTGTTTCTATAGTGTTGTCATGAGACTGTGACCACAAACCCCTAAGGCTAGTCCACATGATCTTCAGTTGGAGAACTAAGTGCATGTGCTTCTGATAGCTGAAACATCTGTCCTGCACAGAGAACATTTAAATATATTTCTGCAGTATTTTGAGCAAAAGCTTCCAAGTCCCTTTCATAAAAATGTATGTATGTTTACTTATACCTTTTTATAATTCAGTTAGGGAGACTTCAAAATGAATTATTGGAGACTTATAGCTGGGATCTTTTCACCTGATGTTCACCCCAGTTATTGCATTGGGTCTTTTTCAGAAAAGCAAAAGCTAGAGCTCAGTCATGTTTCATATCTGACTGTTTGATCTACATAGGAACCCCTGACTAACCACAACTCGTTCCACTGGGGTAAGGGAAGTGATGCAGCTACAACTCTCAACTGCTGTCTGAACGTGACAGAGAGATACAGGAGTAACGCAGTTTAACTATGATAACCAATCCTTTTTTTGTAGTTGTACATTCAGTATCCAAATACATTCTGTGTTAATTGCCACTTCCAGATGGCTCATTCTTACATCACGTTACATTACTTTTATCCAAAGCGACTTACACACACTTTAATACTGTAGACATGCCTGCATGAGCAATTTGGGGTTAAGAATCTCGCTCAAGGACACTTCTACTTGTTTGCTTCTAGCATCAAACCAGTGACCCTCTGTTTGTTAGGTTGAATGTATTCATGACTAAGAAATACAGTATGTATTTAAATAATCCTGTTTGTTTTGTTGTTTAAATATTTGTTCAAAATTCCCCTTAACAAAACAAATAAATGAGTGCCCCTAAGAGGAATACCATAATTCCAGAAGGTGGTGGGACATGTCTTGCCGATAGCAGATCAAAGTAGCCTTTTTTCGCTTAATCAGGCAGACCAGAAATTAGGCATTAGGGCCAAATTAAAGAAAGAAAGCTAATGTTAGCTAGCATCCCCCCCTTTTGTGCAATGTTGGGTGAACACAATACTGTGTGACGGGGAGTTGCCAATGACTATTAAAATATTATGAACATAAAGTAGCTCCTAGTGTGAATCAATGCTAATGTTAGCAAGCTAAACTATACAACATCAACAGGAAACTAGTTTGCCTTACTTAGCCAGCCACTACTTTCCAAGTGTAATATAATCTCAATAGCATGATTGTGCATGTCCCATCTTAAATGTTCTATTCAATTACAAAGGTGTAAAAGTGAATGCTCTGTGTAGTTTTTTCTAGCCGATTATTTTTTAGCCAGTAGTGCGCTACTAAAGTTGACGACATTCCTCCTAACATCGCTGTGCCCCACATATAAGTAAACTGCTGAAATGATAAATGTCCATCCAGAGGTATAAAGCTCTTTTTCCACAAATGTGTCCCCTTTTAATCACTGAAAAAAGTTACACAAAAGCCGTAGCGTTATACAGACTATTCATTATTATATAAGTCCTTACGCCAAATTTGAGCAGAATTCAAATTCCTGTCCATCAATGTCACTTCAACCGTCAAAGTCAAATGTGGCAGCACTTAACTAATTAAGAGACATATTGAAACAAAAAGAAAGTCAGACAGAAATTCTGAAAAAAAGAAGATGGATAATGAAAGACCCAAGGAGAATCACAGTCATGTAGAAAGAGAGGAAGACACACATAATGAAAACAGCCGCGTATCAAACTCCATCAGTGTGGATGGCTGGAAATGAGCAATTCTTCCAGCTCTACTCAACACTTTGGTGGATTTGTGTGTCATTGATAGTAGCGTCACAGTGCCCACCATAGGGCATCAGAGCCATGAATGTCTGGTGATGAAGCCCCGATGGCAAAGAGGCCAAAGGGGAGCTGGGAGAAGTACTCCGATTGTGTAACTAAGTAAAAGTACCAGACCAGTGTTGGACTACTCTGTTACAAGTAAAAGACCTGCAATCAAAATGTTACTCAAGTAAAAATTGAAAAGTACTAGCATCAAAATATAGTTAAAAGTAGTCTTTGTGCAGATTGGTCCATTTCAGAATAATATATATGATATGTTTTATAATGATTGATCATTAAAGTGTTCTCAAAGCTGGTAAAGGTGCAGCTAGTTTGAATGACTTCAGATTTAAGAGTTGATTATATTTCACATCATTAATCCAGATCTGTAAAGTAACTAAAGGTATTAAATATATGTAGTGGAGTAAAAGTACACCATTTATCTCTGAATTGTTGTAGGGTAGAAGTACACATTTGCTAAACAATTGACATACTTAAGTAAAGTACAAGTACCTCAAAATTGTACTTAAGTTTAGTACTTGAGTAAATGTACTTGAGTTACTTTACACCACTGCAAGTGAGAAACAAGTCAGTGGGAAGAGGTCAACGTGTTGTTAGGAGGCACGTTTTCACTCAAAACCAGGAAGTAGTATAACTAACATGAGTTTCCAGTTGCAGCTTTATTGTGAAGAAGTATCCTGCATGTGACCAAGACACATTTTCTATTATTCGAACATCCTTAAACGGGAGCTTTTTTGAAAGTCTTTAAAAGTGAAAGTAAAATGTTAAAAGTCAGAGGACTCTATGAAGGGCATAGTCAAACAGGGATTATGGGGTTACTTTAAACATTTGTTATCTCTGCCAAGTTTGTAGCACACAGTTCTGCCCTCCATTTGGCGTGAAGGTATTACAATATTTTACCTTGTAGTAGTAGTAGTAGTAGTAGTAGTAGTAGTAGTAGTAGTAGTAGTAGTAGTAGTAGTAGTAGTAGTAGTAGTAGTAGTAGTAGTAGTAGTAGTAAGTAGTAGTAGTAGTAGTAGTAGTAGTAGTAGTAGTAGTAGTAGTAGTAGTAGTAGTAGTAGTAGTAGTAGTAGTAGTAGTAGTAGTAGTAGTAGTAGTAGTAGTAGTAGTAGTAGTAGTAGTAGTAGTAGTAGTAGTAGTAGTAGTAGTAGAATGTTTTTGCAAATGTATACATACTTTATAGATCTAAATGCCAAAGCTCCCCACAGAAGTGAAAAACACATTTAGTGTTTAAATGTATAAATCCTACAGAGGAGTTGTCTGTGCCAGCTTTTTGCGTTCCTGTTAGCTCTTAATGGTCCTACTTGTTCACAAATGACACATACAAATATACATATGTTCACTTAATTCTCCCAAGGAGCTGATTCTTTGACCGATTCTGTTTAGACTTAGTGACCTGAGTGGGAACTATAGCTGGAAAAGTGGTTAGTTCAGAGCAGTATGTAAACCAAATACAACAACACCTCCAACGCTGCTTGGAAAAATACACAATCGTATTTGCTATTCCCAGGAAGCCCGGGTTATTGGTTGAGAAATATTCCAGACTCACCCTGAACACACACACAATGTCTTCATTCTATTTAGCCTCAAGCATATACAAGAGTGCTTTTGGTCAAATATTTGAATAATGTTGCAGGATCTAATTATGTATACTGCTAGCCTAAAGGGATAGTATTCTGGTTATTTATAAGGCTGTTTAAAACCTGCAACAATACGTGTTAGTGTAGTACATGTAAAATCCTTTGAACTACTCACGAGGCGTTTGAGATCTGCAGTCAAATGATTTGTCTGTGATGGATTGCCTCATGTGGCAGTCATGGATTTTTCTCTTATGAATTCAATACACCCCATACTGAATACATGTGATTCATACTAATAACTAGGAAGTCAATTCTGAATACATAATTAGTTTGAATGGTTATTACCAGACCAATAAGTTTCACTAAATGCCTTTTTGTGTCAACTAAAACCAACAGCACTTATGTTACTAATTGCTGAAACATACTGTGGCGTGTCTCGTGACTTTACATTTCTTTGACTACAAAAAGTAAATGTAGCCTATAGTTTGGGTACAGTAGGATTTACAGGCAACCAATCAGGGGTCTTACATGATCCTGCTTCTGTAGTTCTGTAATACTGTCTGTACTGCTGAGGCCCAAACCAATATTTAGATATCACTAACCAGTAAAGTGACAAAGTAGCGGGCAATAACAAAGCACATTCACTCATGTACTGTGCTGAAGTGCACTTTTGACGCACTTCAACTTACTAAAGTATTTCTATTTCCTGTTACTTCAGACTTCTACTCAAATCAGAGTTAAAAGTACTCTTTTTCGGCACTACTTTTATACAATAGCATTAGTTTCTTTGAAGATTCAGATTATTGATATGATATTTATCAACTAGTTTCTCGTGTATATATAAGTTAGGTTATGAATTTTCTGCAGTATATAAAAGAAGCTGAAAAAGCGCTTTTAACAGCTGCATAATTAAAATGATGCAAAACATGAATCCATCAAACATTTTGTGAAATATGTCCTTGCGCAGAATATTGACTGTTTCTCTATAAAAACATGTTGATGTCAATGCTTTAGTTAAAATAATAGTTTTAATCCTGGACTCTTACTTATGAATACTTCTACGCTGTTGAATTCATACTTAAGTATAATACAGATCTTAGTACATTGTCCACCACTGCAGCTACACAGTGTATTTACATTAAGTTCCACCAAGTTGAAATGTTACTACAGCTATTCTGCATCATTTTTAAAGACTAAAAAAAACCTTTGGACATATTTGAAGAAATGTTGTCTTAGCTCCGAGCCTCTTGGTGGATGTTGACTTAGGGCGGGTTCCCACATAAAGGTCCGGTTTCTAAA